CACCTTCCCTACTCCCTGTCCACTTGTCAACCGTTGGACTTTGTTGTGCCACTGTGCCAGCCTGTGGTCCCGGCTTCTCTTCTCCAGCCAAGGGACCCCAGCCTCTTCGGCCTCTGTTCACAGTGCAGGCTTGTGGCTCTTCACTCTGGGTCCTTGATTTTGCTTAGCCCCAGTGCAGGGTTTGTGCCTGCGGTGCCCTCCAGAGGCTCGGGGTTGAATAAATCCTACCTGTGCCCTGGGGTTGGTGATTGACCCGAAGCTTGCTCTTGTGGAGCCTGGGCTCAATGAGCTTTGTCTGGCTCCCTGACACTGCCCTCGCCTACTCTCTGCAGGGTCATTTGTAATTACTGCTTGGACGGGTCACACCCTGGCCAGCTCGGTTTCTCACCTCCTGCCTCTCTCTACCCTGCCAGCTTCTGCCGGCATGTTTGAATCTCCTGCAGCAGTGGCTGATGTCATCAGCTGGCTGCCACCAAACTTGATTGATAGCTGCTTGAAAAGCTGGTGCAGCGCCAGCTCACGCGACCCACCTGCCAGCACCGCCTGCTTCTCTAAGTTTTCTGCGGGGCTGAGGTCCCCAGATCTATCTCACGGAGCGTTGGGGTTTGTCTTTGGGGAGCGGCTCATGCCGCCACAGTGAGGACACTGAATATATGTGACACGGAGGCTGCTGGAGTGTGCTAATTAGCTAATTAATTGAGTCTGCTCCAATGTGTGCTACTTAGCCCATGTCCGGCATGTGTATAGGTATCCATAATATTCAATGAAGAAATGAATTCCCAGGGATCACAAGTTAAATGATCACTTTGCAGACTGGTATTAGATAGCTCCAGAAGTGGCTTCCAATGGCTTCTGGTCCAGAACAGATAGATGTTGAAATCTTTAGTGTTTAGAGTAGTTGGTGTTACAGCTTTTGCTAGGACAGAATGCAGCTGGTTCTTTGATAATGAATGTTGTGCAAGTGCTAATAAATATAAGAAAATTTTATTGGTATAACAGACCATAGATCTTCCATGTCGTGCTTCTGCAGTGTCAGTCGCCCACATAGAACCCTGAACAATTTTGAAACACCAGAATCCGGATTTCTCCTTATTATGGGTCCCTGCAGACCATGATTATGGGGTGATCACTGAGGAGTGGTTTGTTGATAATATCACTACTATACTGTATGGTAAATATCTTAAATAGTGCAGAAATGATGTGAGGTATAAACCATTCCTGTAGAACAGGGAAATAAAATTTAAATAGCATTTAAAAACTGGATTATTTCTTATTTTTTCCCTTTAGTGTACAGACATAATACAACTTGACAAATTTTTCAATAGATTTGAAACGTCACGAAAGCTTGATGCTGGTGAATTAGTGAATAACTGCTGGGTTGTGTAAGTTCAAGGGAGAAATAGAAATGTGAATGGTCAGCCTTTAGATTATAGGCTAACTAGTGGAAAAAGATGGAGACTACTTGGGTCCCTGGCAGACATTACAACAGGTTACCTGGCAACAAGTTCAAGCAATTAATGGCTTGATTAAAAAGGGAATAAGTCACAGTTATTTCACAAAATGTGTAACAACGTTGTGGCTTGTTTCCATTGTACTTTAAATTGAACACGTGGCCTTTCCTTTCAGCGCTCTGGTGTGCTCCTGAGACTGGGAGCACCAGTCACCTGATTGGTGCTCCCAGCCCTAGGAGTGCACTGGAGCCCTTCAAATCCTGCCAGGGACTCTGATCTTCTCCTGCAGCTTGGAGGACCAGTCAGCTGACTGATGTTCCAAGCCACGGGAGCACAGTTCATGCAGAGGGAGCCTGGGATCATGAAGGACCCTGGTTCCCCCATATCAGCAGCAGGGTGTCATTGAGATCTGATCCCATGACTGTGCCTTCTACCCCGCATATGCGGCCTGGCAGGAAGCATGATTGTTGGGATAGCGCAGTGATGCCAAACCTTTTTGCCCTATGGGCCAGATGGACTGTGCTCCATTTGTCTGCAGACCTGATATGGCTGATGGGTGTAATTGGGCACACGGGGCAGCGAGGCAGGGCTGTTTGGCCAAATTGTGGGTGAGGGGGCATGGCCCAGCCCTGAAGGGTTTGGGGATTTGGCAACGGGAGAGGGGCAGTATTACTTCCTGCTGCTCCCTCGCCACCACATTTCCTGCCCCATGGGGAACCCTGTGGGTTGGATACTATGCTTTTGTGAGCTGCATTTGGCTCATGGGCCGGAGGTTGAGGCAGCCCTAGGATACCAGATAAGATCCCATCAAGCCTTTAACTGACTGTCTGTCTGGAGTTTTGCTGTAAAGAATGTAGAGTCCCAAAGCCAGAGAACACTTGTCAGTCTGTCTCAAGAGAAGCTAATGTAACTTTGGGATTAAAGCTGACATATACCACATACAGGGCCCTGCTCCAGTGGTGTTAACACTGGGATGAGGACCTAGAAGCCCAGAGGTCGAGAGTTTGAAGTCATAGAAGAAGTGGTTGCAGCATGGCTATGTCAGATTCCATTGCATCTGCAAATTCTGCTAACTACCTTGTCACAAGGACTTGAAAAAGGAAAGGACCACATAGGGGAAAATCATTTGCATCTCTTGTCACAATTTTCAAGTGTGTTTTTCATGTTCTGGTATTATTTTCTGCATCTTCCCTCCAACCAATATCATTGAATAGAATCTTGAAAATTTACACTTGTGGGTCATTTGCTTATGAAGTACTAAATGTTAGGAATAAGGGTCTCATTAAAAATGGCCAAATTAAAACAAGGATAAGTATCACAATCTGTTTAATTTCTTTGACAAAAATTTCAGTTTCCATTATGTGTGATGCTTACCAGTATGCCAAAAAACGTTTTTTTACTATATATCTAAAGAAACAGAAATTGTAGAGGTAAGGTGATATTGATGTCTCTTCCATATTTTTTCTGTGAAGTTAAGACCTATATATTTTGTGTATGAATTAACGGCTTATGAATCAAAAATATATTATAACAGCTTTGTTTTATTTCTGTCCCTTGCCTTCTAAATTGGTCTAAAAAAGTATTGAATTTTCACCCTTCCCTTTGTTCTTGCTCTTTTGCCCAGATCAGAGCCTAGATGCCAGGGTGATGGGCATGTTGGAAGTGCCCACAATGTTTTTCTTTGGCAGTATTTAAGGGACACTATTAATTTAAAATCTACTCATTTATAAATGCATTCAAGAAGGTTTGAGTATCCCAAATTCCTATGCTGGATTTTCTTGCTAAAAATTGTTTCCTGATTTTTATAAATTGGTTTCTCACTTGTTTTGTGGAAGTCTCATACAAATCACAGGGGAAACAGTGAAACTGACTGACTGAATGTGAATGACATCAAATTCACATCTAGTCCAACTAGAAAAAGTAATCCCTTTTGGGTATAGTAAGCTGAGCTGTTAAAGAGAACAATAATATGTGTAACTTTTTAAGTTCACATTGCCCATTAGACATCTAGTTTAGACAGTAGGGTGCAATGATTTCTTGGAAGAGCCTATCAATTGTTGAATTGTGGATGCATTTATGGAGGCTACAAAGTTTGCTTAACCATAATAATCTTTCCTCTGCCAGGTCAATTTTAAAATAAACATAGGAAAACCAGCATTTTATTTTTAAATGGTTTACTGTGGATGATAAAACATGAGGGGTGGTTTACAGTTAAATGAGTCGTCATTTATTTAATGTTGAAGAATATTTTATGTTCATTTACAAGTTGTATTATTTTTTCCTACTGTCTCTATTTGTTAGAATAGGTTAAGGGAATTTTATCTGCCTTTTTAATTCAAGCGATTTAGATAAATCTTTATCAAAGTCTAGTTAGGCATAATAAATAAAAACACGTTTGCCTTTATCTTAGCAAAGTTGGCTTCATGCAACTCCAGGGAGTTAGTTAATGAAGTTCCGCTGGAGATGCATACGACTCGTATTGTACTAAAATATGTAAAGTGCAGTGTCCCTTTAGAGCAGTATTCAACTTCAGAGAGGGCAAGGGAAAACATTTTGCACTCTTGTGTCTCAACAGGAGTTGATGGTATGATTGCCTCATTCACCACCAGGCAGGGACAGAGGTGGTACTAGGTCTTCCAGAAAAGGCGGGGGTTAATTTTTAGGGCTGTGCTAAGTTTCAGTCACTGATTCGATTCAGAGGAGATTCGGCCTGATTTGGTGGCCGAATGTCCGAATCAGATCGGGAGACCCACTAATCTCTCCAAATCAGATCGGAAGCCTTCAATTGGATTTGGAGAGATTCGACCATAGACACAGCTTTATATGTTTTCTCTACATACCTCAAGGTACCAGGTGGGGCAGATGGAGTGTCCCTGGTTCACTCCTGCTGTGGAGTGTGCGGGGGACCCTGCCCCTTGGCTCGGCAACTGGTGCCTCCTGTGTCTGGGGGGAGACCTGGGGTCCCCCCACAGCCAATTGGAAGTATTTCCAGGTCCGCCGCCGAGCATGCAGGGGGCCCCCTGCATTCCTGTAGGATGTTCCATCCACCCCACCATCTCAGCATTCACAAGCTACACCTGGTACCTTGAGGTACGTAGAAAATACATATAAAGCTATGTCTATGGCCAAATTGCTGATTCTCCAAATCAAATCGAATCGTCAAATTTGGGTGAATCGAATTGGGACAGTGATCCGAATCAATGAATTGAATCACTGTTCCCCGAATTGGGCTGAATCCAATTCGAATATGGCCCACTTTGCACACGCCAATAATTTTTACAGATGTGGCTCTTCCCTGGCTGTTTTTTTTCTTGGCTTGTTGCACTTTTTGAGCTGCAGAATCTGGCAGTCGGTCCTCTTGAAGGTTGTATGTCTGCACCCTGTTCATAGTGGTCATTTCGTGAGTAGGTGAACTCATAATGTTGTTTGACCCTTAGTTTGTTGGGTGGCTTCTGACTATTTTGATAGGAAGGAGCAATGAAATGCTGATTTCCAATAGCCTATTGAGGTTGCAGTTTTTAAAACAAAGCATTTATTTGTCATTCACAGCTTGTAGCCGTATTTGACGAACAAGATCCACATCATGGAGGCGATGGCACCAGTGCCAGCTCAACTGGCACTCAAAGTCCAGAGATTTTTGGCAGTGAACTTGGCTCCAACACCACTTCAGCCTTTCAGCCTTATCAAGCAACAAGTGAAATTGAGGTCACACCTTCAGTGCTTCGTGCAAGTAAGTGAAAGCTCAGTGGTTCTGCACATTTAATCTTAATTTAGAAGGATGCCAACTTCTGTTACTCAGTTATACTACTGAGAATATGATTCATTATCTGTCCTTATTGAAAGATGATTACAGTTTTAAAAAAAAATAAAAAGCCAGATAACTGTTTGTTGCATGCAAGTAAATAAACCTCTCCATTATAATAAATTGGTTATATGCTCCTTTTAAACAGCAATAAGTCTTTCTGTCTCTGTCCAGTTATAAATTGCCAAACAAAGAAATTATGGAAACACTTCCAAATGAAGTTGTTGTGTGTAGCTTTGTTTGCCAGTTGATATATAAAATGAAGAAGAAAAAGGTAAAATGAAACTATAAGCAGTGGTTGCTGTAGTCTTCCCTTCCCTTTCCCCATCCCACAAGTAAGCTGGTGGCTTACTTACCACTTTTCAGTTAAAACAGCTGGTGATGCATACAGTAACAGAATGATCTTTTTATAATCAGTAGACAGGTTATTTCTCAAAATTTAGGAATTCAGTGGTTAATATTACTTTTAGCTTTTTAGTCATCCAATAACATTCTTAGCAGTCTGCATAATATTATCAAATTTTATTGGCTGATGATGTCAAGAAACATATCCAGATGTTATCATCAATCACTATAAGTTTCTAAAGTGTTTTTAGTAAGGTTCTCTGTATGGATTTACCTGTGTAAATTATAAGGAGCTGTTGACAGTCAGCCACACTGTCATTTTTTTTAATGTAGCTCTTCTAAAATAAATTTATGCTTTATTGAAAAACCCAGAATAGGTTTGCAACAACTGCATGGAGCTTCTGAGGCAGGCAAAAACTCATGGTTTTTGGTTTTTGTTTGTTTGTTTTGTTTTTTTCCTTAGGCTGGTGTGTTAACTCACAAACCTGTTGAAAAGTACTCAGTGATGATAGAGTGCTTGAAGAATCTATGATAAGAGGTGCTTTAAAAGTGCAAAATAAAATTTATTTAGGGCTGTCATTAGGTGTGTATCTATAAAGATAAAAAAAAAAACAAAAAACCTGACAGTACTGGTAGCCGATTATTAAGCAACCATATTGGCTGATGCTGATCTGGTAACTGATTTACTCTGGTTAAACCGGCATGGCAGGGAGTGAGGTGTGGAGCCACAGGTGGCTTGTCCAGGGGTGGGAGGGGTGACTCCCTGCCATTGTGTGTACCCCCCAAGGGAGGCATCAGGAGTATGTGCCAACTCTTACCAGATTTGTGCACAGGGCAGATGTGGACTGTGAGCTCTCTCAGGGCTCTCTGCTGTGCTGCCCTTTCCCTTGGGAACCCTGAACTGGCTGCATGCCCCCTGCCTGCCTGGCAGCAGTGGGGATGGAAAGTTGTACCCCCTGCTGCCAGAGGCAGGGGGCGTGAAGCTGGCACGGGGCTTCCAGGGCAAATTCAGCAAGGCAGAGAGCCCTGAGCTCACAGTGAGCAGCCTGCATCCTCCCCATGCACAAATCTGGGGGGGGGCACATGCCCCCTTCATGCCCCCTGTCCTCCTCCCCACCCTGGCCCTGGGTTCTGTGCACCACCCTGGCTGGACAGTGCCCCCAGCCCCTACCTCACCATGGGAGGCCTCAATCTGTCTCTCCTCCCACCCTTTCCCATCCATAGACTTACCTGCAGGGTGCTGCTCGCCATGCTGCCCAGCTGTATTCCTGGCCATGTGCATGTGTGTGGCTCTGCATGTGCATGTGGAGCCCCCTGTGACTCACTCCTGGCAGCCCCAAGCAGACCTGTCGCAGGCTGGAATGCTGCCTGCCTGCAAGGGAAAACCCTTCGTCCCCTGAGGGAACCCACGTGTCCAGGGCCCTGGCCAGAAGGCATAATTATTGGTAAACATTATTGTCACAGGGAAGGTACAGGGGACAGACCCCGAGGGGCCAAGGGGGAATCCTGGGACCCAGAACATAACAGGGAAGGTGAGGAAAGAGGGAAAGAAACGAAGACTCCCTTACCTGCAGCTGGCGCCATGGCAAGACCGGAAATGGCGGTGGGACCTGCGCGGCTGATTATCTGCATCTTGGTGAAACTGCGGCCAGCTGCAGGGAGGAGTGAGCAGAGCCGGCGCAAGAAAATAAAAGGCGGTTCAAGTGAAGAAGAGAGAGGAAGATCAGGAGCAGAGTCGCCAGGGGAGGTATCTCTGGAACCCCAATTAGGGGTGAGAAGGGTCAGGACGACCTTCCACGAGGGAGGAGGCTGCATCGGAGACTGCCAAAAGAACGGCGTCAGCATCAGCACGGCAGATGTCCCTCTTCCAGGTGAAGGAGTCGAGGGAGAGGATCCAAGGGTTCAGAATGTAGAAGCTGACAGCAGGGATGGTCCTGAAGAGAGGGTGACGGAAGTTGAGCCAGCGACCCAGGTGGGATCGGCACGGGCTTGGGAAGGCTCCAGGAGTAAACCCAGACGGGGAACGGAGAGTCTAAGCAGCGAGAGGGGATGCAGGAAACAAGCTTCTACCATCTAGAGCTGCTCGGTGAGCGACAGAGTGGGCAGAACTAGAGGGACCACTAATAGTCCAGTTTGGCATTCAGGCAGTGCTGACTGCCCGACATACGGGTACCCAGGACAAGGTTAGTTGGGGAATTCTCAGGGCTAGGGTAGCCCATTTTGTGTGAGGTCAGGAATTTTACTGGCAGGGTTTTCCTTTGGTTTCTTTCTGTTTTCCCACTTTTGGAGGGGTAGGAGGGCAGGCCACAGTGGGCCTTAGAGTCGGCTTAATCCGGGGGTGGGTTAGACCTTATACATCTGTACCTTAGTGCCCATTACATCAAGAGGTGAGGGTCAGAGGCCAAGAGACTTCAGCAACTCGTCGAGACTGGGTATCAGGGCAAGGTGTAGGGGAGGTTAGAGCCTCGCAGAAGACTGCTGTCCAGAGATTCCAGCCTCTGGATAAGCCCCAGTGGTCGGACCCCACCACTGAAGAAACAAACAAAGTCGTGGCAGGCGAGATTGGGGTGGAGGCTACCCCGGGGCAGGACATCTGTGCTATGCGACCACAGGGACGGAGCAACGAGCAGTCCTACACACCCAAAGCTGGGCGGCACGGGACCGGATGTTCGAAGCCCAATGGGTGCAGTTATCTACTACAGCGGCCAAAAAAGCCAATAGCTGATGCTGTAAATTTCCCTTTTATCGGTGTGGATCTGATAGGCAACTGACATATTGGTGCACATCCAACTGTTATGGACTGTGGATCTTGCAGTTCTCATGGGAAAGCATGCAAAAGTAGAGAAGTGGTATATTTTTGCCTAAAGATTTTAATATCAATCACAGAGGTTCTGCCTAATAGTTAGAATGTATTTTCTTTTTCTGTTAGCATCTAGATGCACTTCTTAAGAGTCCCAACCCATGGGCATAGAAACCAATTCAGTAATATTATCCTGTATTATACTTACCTATTTCAAGAGTTTCATTTAAATATACATTGAAAATAGAAATAATATCCCTATTGTATTTCCTTTTTAACTGGTGAAGTGAAGCATAGCATACAAATGGTATACTCAGTATTTCAAATAATTGCCTCCTTACTGTGTAAGTTCCATTCAGTGTAGAAAACCCATCCAGTTTTGTAGTAGATGCAGATCCTGATTATTACATGTTGACAAGGTCATATATCTATTAATTGGATTGGAGATGGGATACAAAATTGCTGTAATTATTGTAATTTTCTAGCTAATTGCAGGGTTGGCGGTGAATATTTTACTTCTAACAAATGAAAAACAGTATTCCGCCTAAAATTGTTTTATAGCATTTTAGACATTTTGTTTTACCTCTTTGGTGCTTTTTGCCCACAAGCTGGGCTATGTTCCCCAGTGGTTTGCTTGCAAAACTATAGCTGGGTGCCATTCTTTTCCTGTTCACCTGCACCGAAATGGCACATAGTGGTCTCTGTTCTGAGGCTGCATCTAACTGTATTAGGCTGGAGCTTAAGGGCCTGCTGAGATTTTCTTCTCTCTTTGTTCTGGTTGCCATGCTACTCCTTTTGTTTATTTGTAAATCATACCATCATTCCTCTCTCAGAAAGGAAAAGGTTAGGTAGATGAGGTCCAGCTGGAAAAGTAATATTCATCTGCATTCCCATTTTCCCCACATGCAAACATATAAGTATATACTATGCACTTGTGGAGATGGTTCAAATTGGATCTTCCCAACTAAATGTGAAAATAAGAATAATACCAATTCTGTGTTGTTCTGTACTATGCATAGCTTACAATGGTTACAGTTTGTATCTAGCACATTCTCTTTCTTTTTGTATTATCAAAGCCAAACTTCCTGTTGCTATATTTCATCAGCTGAGCTGGATTTTTTTTTTTGTAGCTGTATAGTACACAAGGTGTTTTTGTGTGTGTGTGCCTGCATGCTTCTCAGAAGAGGTTGGAGGCTTACTGCAGAAGATTGTTAAAGCAGACTGATGTTTATTTCCTGCTGAAATATAAACTGGAGGCGCAGGTGAAAATTGCCAAACCTAATGAGCAATTTGGCAGATAAGACAGGATGTCAGGCAATGACAGTTCAGCCGCGGGTGCACTGTCTGTGAACCAAGTTGTTTGTTTCACAGTACTGTATTTAAATACCATAAATAAAATCCCTTTACAACTGCATCAGATACTGTGAAGGAGTCCTGCTCTTTTAGTTTTCCTTTTCTTAAAAATCCATTATGTTTTCTTAAATAACCAACAGCCTGGCTAACGGAAGAATTGGTGTGAAAAATAATTGGAAACTAGCTTTTGTATAAATGAGGTATTAAAATACAGCAATAAAAAGTAAGTGATCACTTGGTACCACATAAAATATAACCTAGCATATCATCTTTTACATTGAACATGTGAGCATGCTGTTCCTTAAAGTCTAAAGAATTCTTTTCCATGCTGCACCTAAAATTTCTCACCTGTGGCATGGTGTAATGTTGTAGTAGTTCATGTGATGTCATAAGATGACTGCATTTGTCAGACTTTCCATTCTCTACTTTC